GTAATGCGTCTATCTCATATATTGGTTTCACCTTTTGAGTTGCCTTACTGAATAAATGAACATTTGCACGATATTCTAATTTTTCGAGTTTCACCTGTATATCCAGAATACTTTAAAGCAATACCACAACTACACAGGGCACATCCACACAATTGCTTCAGTGTGCTTTCCTCCAGTCTATGAGGTGGCAAAAAAGAATGCCTGTGTAAGTTTCTCTGCCTCCACTCTAATGCAACAATGGGCCTAGTGAGTGGTATTGCCCTGATACCTTTAATGTGGAACAAGTGAAGAGAAGCAATCTGTGGATTTCCTGCTGGTGGAAAAAACAGTTGCTGTCCCTATCGTGGAACTGGGGCTGGGGGAGGAGGCAAGTTTTAACAGATGGCTAGATGCATGCATTTAGCTGTTGGTCAGAAACTGATCTGTGGGAAGCAAGGCTTTCCACCCCTCCTGCTTTATCAGGAACCCCCCACTCACCCATGGATCAGGCACTGAAGCCTACAATCACCCCACAGATGATAGGCAGAGTTTCTCTCTCATTCCGTCTCTCATGCTTTCTCCCTTCCCCAGCCTTTTTCACTTGCTCATCTGTCTCTCCCTTGTTCTTACTCCAGCTTACTTTCTTTAACTCCCTGTATAGTTTTGGCCTCTCTCGCTCTTACTTTCTCTCACCTGCTGGTCTCCGCCTTGTGCTCACCTGTCTCTCTTCCTCACCGTCCTTTCACTTTCCCTCTCAAGTATTCCCTCTCTTGTCCTCTCTGGTTCACTCTTGCTGGTTTGTTTCTCATATTCACCTTTGTCTCTTCCTTGCTCACTCTTTCTCAGTTTATCTTTCTGCCTCTCTTTCATAATAATCTTTCTCCCTCAATTTATCCCATTCTTTTCTTTTTTGTTTTCTCTCCCTGTCTTACAGACAAGACCGTCTTTCTCTTGTGGTCTCCAAACAACTGATGGCTGTTGACAGGCTCTGGTGGGTGCCCCCACCCACCTTCAGCCAGCATCATTCTGCCACATGAAAGTACCAGTTTTATGTGGATAAGGATCCTGAAGTAATTCTGTTTTGGTGCTTTTCAGATTGCCAGTCTGGCATTAAAGGCGGCCAGATATCTCATCTGATTGGTCTTGCTGATCAAGCCAAAAGAAGTTGCCAACAACCAGGGGTAACAGGGGATAGGTGCTGTAGCAGCCAAAAGTAGCCAATAGGAACTGGGCAGGTATCAGTTCCTAACCATATCATAGTTGCTGAAGCACCAGAAATCATACATATAACAAGACTTCTGTTGGGAGTTGATGGAGAATACCACTTCAGATAAATGTAAACATGAGGTAGACTGAGCTGTGTGTTAGGGATGAGGCAAAGGCTGTGACACACAGCTCTGCCTTTAAAGAATGGTTAATGAGTCACCTTCAAGGGATAGTTAGGGGGAGGAGTGTGGAGAATAACAAGTTTCAGAGAAATAGGAGATAGAAGGCTAGAGAGACATGTTCAAAGGAGGAAACAGCCCTGAATTCTCAAGTTGCTAAAGTAACCCCTTCAGGTTTTTCCACTGTCTTTCCATGGTGCTCTTAATAGGGTCCAAGTATACCCACAAAAGAGAAAGATATGTACATGTACCCAGTGGATGATCTACCCACACTTGGTGCCATTATTTCCACATCCATGGGAGTGAGGGAATAGAGCTGGGGTTGCTATCTGTGCTTGGGAAAAACAGGCAGAAATGCTTCCCACCCCACTTCCTTAAGGCTCAGCACAGCTCAGACTTTTTCCCAAAGGGCCCCAGAAATTTAAGAGATGGGCTCATTCACTCACTCACTCACTCACTCACTCACTCAC